ATATAATTTAATAATATTATATAGTATAATCTTACCAGCGCAGGACGCAGAGAAAACATGGACGATCGGAGTATCGGGAGGTAGAATCGCATTGAACGCAACTTTGCTCTTGGAGTACGCGCAAAAGTATATAGCTCTGGAGGGTGCCACACCAATGAGATTTGGACCAAGACCTTTAAACAGTCCTCGTGCACCCTCATTCTTGATGATGTACCTTAAGCATTGATAAATGCCCAATGCGTTTCGAGAAGAATCTGGAGGTGAGGTCGAAACACCAAAATGTGAAAGAGCTACGAAGTGACTGGAATACCTGGATGAAAGAAAGCTACGTTTATAACATGCATCTTTTTCACAAAAATTATATATTTTAAAATTAATTATTATTTATTACGGTATTAGACATAAGAAATAACTTGGACATAATCAATTGCTTGTTTTAAGTTGTCTAGAAGCAAGTAGATATTAATATTGTTCCAGTGTTATATTATCCCTAAACATTATCCCTATTTTGATTCGTGTTATTTTTTTTAAAAGTGTTTAACTTCAACTTTCATCACTTGTTCTGATTAAGCATGTATTTTTTTATTAAAATACATTTATTAAAATACATTAAAATACAATTCGCATATTAAAAAATTTCGAGTATCTTTTCTTGCGGCATGGATATCTCAGATAAGAGATAATATCAACCAAGAGTTCTTTGAATCAATCATAAAATAACTTGTAAAGTTGAACAAATTATATAATAAACTTTCGCGAATACTAAATCAGTATTCAGTATTCAATTAGTTAGTAATCAATTTGATTTTCTTTGATTTACCTAGGATATCCAGTGCACAACCTCCTACGTTGCTCGGGTGTCGGTGAACCTTTGCATGTTGGATGGCCAGATGTAAATTCTTTACTTATTGGAGGTGGATGAAAACCAGAAGACGATGACTGCAATCGGGTCTTTACTACTTCAAGTGGACAAGTTACTATCGCTCCTGCAGTACCAGCCACTCTACGCAAAATAAAAGAAGATCAGGATTGTTTTTTATTTCTAATCATGATTGCTACTTTCTCATATAAAGATGTTTTGTTACGCTAACCATATATAATATAATATATAATGTAATTTTATATAGATACTTATGTATACCTTAATCAATAGTAAATAATATACAATACATACATTTATAAAATGTACACACACACACACACACACACACACACACACACACACACACACACACACACACACACACACACACACACACACACACA